AATAAAAATAAACTTATTTTACCATCAATGCTTTTATTAATATGATCAGTTTGATTATGTAAAAGTTGTTTAGCATTTACAGTTGCAACACCAATATCAACACAATCAAGTGATGGTTGATCTTCAGGTGGTTCAGCTACGACAACAAATTTTATTCTAAATATATTAATACATTATTACTTTGAGTATTATTTGATATATATATTCAATGGCTTACTCTCCACTAGATCTAGGTTCAACAAGCTCAGCAAGTTGTTGTTTCTTTGGTTGATCACGTACCGAACATTCTTTCAGAAAAAAAAGAAAAGAGAACGATTGATAAGAACAATAAATCAGAATCAAAATGATTTTTTTACCAGTCTGAAAATCAAAACTATATTTCGTATTTGGTTCTCCTTTTACTAATGCATATGGTGTTTCAAGAGCTTCTGCTGGATAATCAAGAAATTCTACACTAACAAATACTTTTTCACAATTATCATCATCAAATACAGGACACTTTTCATTAAGTACAAGTTCATGTACACCAATTGTGACAATATCATCTCCTTTTTTAGTACTTTTCGACATTGAGATCTGATAAACAATATCTGACTCAGAATCATCAACATAACGTGTTGTTGCATTTGTTGGATTGACTACATCATCAGATGATACTAAAGATAAAATAAATACAAATAGATATTTTTCTTTTCGATTATATAAAAATAAATAAATCAAAAATCAGATTATTTGTTTCTCACATCGAAGTTGTCGTGTCGAAGTTTTTGGTTATCGAACCATAGGAACTTGCCGAGCGCAAGAAAACTCAACGATCTTAAAGTATTTTGTTCAATTTTTTTATGATTATGAGATGGTAAGAAAAAATTTTTTTGTAATATTCTTTATCAACCTAAATCAAAACGTATACATCCTTAAACGACTGTTTACGATAGCATTGAAAGCTATATAACTGAACGCACGGTATGTAACACGTAGAAAATGAGTATAAGTCATTGATTCTATTTGTCTTTTTTTTTCTCATTTGAAATTTATTATTTAACACTTGAATTTTCAGCTAATCGTATAAGAGAAAGGAAAAAGAGAAGATTAAACAATACCTAGTCGTCAGATGTAAATTCAACATGATCTTAACAAAGACTCTCAGATTGTTTGGAGTATTCTATTAAATTCGTATTTAGAGTTTTAAATTTTAAGATTCTCTATGTCCGTAGTTTTTCAATAGAATACTCTAGAATTCTCTGTCAATGTTCAATCTATATATTTAATTTTTCTTTTTCTTTGAAAGAGTATGTCACTAAATAAAGCATGAGGATGCGGGGTGTGGGTGTGCGGCTGTAGGTATGAATATTCCTCTACGCCCTCACCCACACCCATCCATATGTTAACTGTATGATATCATCTTTAAATCAAACTTCTTCCTCTTTTGCAGATTATGTGTAATTTCAAAAAACGTTCGACACACAAACGTCTGTAAAGCGCAAGATAATTTTTTTTTTCAGTTATAAAATATAGATAAAGTGATGAGTGTGTGTGTTAGCCTTCTTTTCAATCACACTCGCACCCACATCCAGGAAGTTTACTCTCCTCTTTCTGATGACTTGACTTACTTTTTTTTGCAAAAGGACAGAAATCGGTGGAATATGACATAACAGGAATATTAGGATGACCAGTAAGTTTTCATAAACAGCTATTTCAGTTTTGCTTATTATGAAGAGTAGGATGTAGGTGTTAGTATGTGTGGATAGTCATTTAGTATCAATGACACACACTCACATCCACAGCTTATATCATGTGTTGTTTCTAAGTGAAGTGTAAGAACTTTTTTGAATTTTTCTGACTCATCTCGATACATAACTCAGAAACACAATTTAGCTAAGCATATTTATAAACGATAATAGAAGTTTCCTTAACCCTTTATACCCTGTTGAGTCATTTTTGACCCATTCATACAAAGTTTTGCAGAAAATACAGGAAGTATGGTATTGAAAACTCCCAAAACAATATTGTTACAGAACTCCATAAGCTATCGATTGGTAAAAAAAATATTTTGTTTCGTTACTCTATCTCCGAGATATATAGCTTTCAAAATTATCGATTTTGAAAGAATTTAAAAATAACAAAATTTTAAAAACAAAACGGTTTTTCACTCACACGCAATAAAGATTTCGAGGCTGCGTTGTGTCGTATATATCGATAAAAGTGTCTACTATTTAACTAAATGCGTTTCAAAAATTTCACAATGGCTTGGCAGATACGAAATGGTAAGATACCAGATGGATCCTGAAACGACTATTGAACAGAAAGAGAGAGATAGCGGATACCATGAATATATTATTTGTAAATCTTATCAGAGTAGCAATCGAAAAAAATATATATCATCGATTAAATGTCTTCATTGATGATATAATTACTTAAAGAAAAATATGTATTTTTAAAAAATCTCTGTCAAAAATACATGTGGTGTTTAAAAATCGCTTTTTATATTCGTAGTTTTTCGTTTTGGATTTGAGTCTAATAGAAAGGAATAGAAGACACATTGGCCTAATTAACACCGTCATAAACAAGAAAAGAAGTAGGGCTTTTAAAGTTGTTCCATTCCCTTCTCTATCTCAATGGTCACTGTCGTAATCAAATTCCCCTGCACAAAAGGTAGTGCGTCTGATCGCTCTGCCTATACCATTGGTATATTGGGGAGACCAATACTCTATTTTTATGGTAATTTTATCAGTGGCTCTTCTGGAACCACTTCAGGGTATAAAGGGTTAAGTAGATAGACTAAACGAATCTAAGACCTATCAGAGTTTACACTTATCTTCAGAGTCACAATATTGCGAAACTGTAGATTAATATACTTATTGCACAAACACATCCTCGGCTATTTTCGATTGGAAGTGTATACTTATTTAGAATCGATCAAGTCGACTTTTGTTTTATATCAGCTGTACGAAGAGAATTAGTTCTATGTTATGAATGGATTTATCTGATATCCCTCGTTCTTACTAATAAATATATATTTAAATGCCATAAAAAATTTATCTGGAAAGAAGTTTTTTCTGGCAACTGTTGATTGTAATGGACATGTTCAACTATAGAAATGTGACACTCCAAGTATAACACTTTTGCATTGGTTCACTCTTTTGAATTATCATTTCTACTCGATATCTTTGACAATTCACTACTTTAGGATTTTGTTCTTTTTTCAGGAGTGAACTCATAGAAAAATTCTCTCTCTTGAGATCTGTTACTACTGAACATTTTCCTTGTACAAAAAATAATCAAGCAGACAGTTTTGTCTTATACAAGTGTTAGTATTATACTAGTTCTGTGTTTTCTAAACCGATTCGTATACAGAAACCTGTTAATAAAGATCCGATTCTTTTGAAAAAAAGATATTGCGGTCCACAGGTTTTTTCACAGAAACTGTTACAAACATTCGGTTACAAAGTTTCTCCAATCATCACTACTTATTAGATACTAGACAAAACAATGTTTGTATTTTCAAGAAGCATTATCGAAGAACCTATTCATCAGTCCTTTCTGAAAGAGTTAATTCTATCGAAGTAAGATCAGATATTAAGGCAAAGATTGGAAAAGCTTTTCTCAATTCTGCTTTATTCCATTTTATGTTGCGATTCATAACCGTTAGATTTTCCATGAAAAGACAGCATGATATTTTGGCATCATACGAAAATGTTCTCTGTAATCCTAAGGTCGTTTGAAGCTTCTTTACCTCTCATTATTATACTAATAAATGAGAAAAATCATGATAAACTGTTTATTAAAGATAACTCTCTTGAATACGAATGACGCTCGTAGCTGATGACAAATACAAATTCATAATTTGAAAATCGTCATAGGTCTAGTCTAATAACAATACTTGGATTAAACTACTTCTATTTTATCGTACTATCGATCACTAACAAAAACAAAGCGAATAAAGCATAGCTGACGAAGGAGTAACGTATATTTTTATGCTTAGAACTTACCTGTGGATTTTTCTCCGATTTTCGACGATGCCATCCTAAAAATAAGAAAGATATTAGAATTTTAACGTTTTGAAATGGTGTAGGTGTGGTGTGGGTGTGTACGTTGTAACCACTAATCATATACATACTCCTACTGTATTTTCGACAATCGCATACATATTATTCGTGAAAATTGGTTCACTTTGGTTTGAACTTAGTGGGAAATATTGAGGATTTATTTACCTGACGATATCTATATGGTTATTTCATTTCTATAGTTAAAATCAAGAAGAACGACAAATAATCGATCTCATTCACTAACAATTCACTTTAAGATTAATTCGAAAGTCGAATACTACTGTAATGCTACACTAACACTTTTTTTGTAATTCTAAACAATAGAATTCGCCTCTTTGATGTTACACACTAAGAAATGTGATGACAATTATTTTCACCACTAATTGGCGTTGGTACGATCTTAAAAGAATTTAACCAACGTATATCATCAGCTTTAGAAAACACATTGCTGGAAAAGCGACGATGTCTCTGTTATCGAATTATGTGTAAGCTAATCAGAGTATTAGTTAAAAATTCTTTGTTTTATGTAATTACTCAGTATAGTCATCATCTTAGAATTTATATTAACTAAAATTATTTCTAATAGAAAAATCATATTGATGATATATATCTGAATTTTTCGACAGGGTGTTTTTGCTTCACATAACTTACTATTATGAAGTAGTTGTATCGAAACTAGTAATGAAGACTTGCAGAGTATGATGCTTTCAGTATATGAGACTTCGATTAAATATTGTTATGTCGCATGATTCATTTGTTAGCTTACAAAGGTAACAAGATCTCTTTCTTTATCTACCTTTAAAGTTGTCCGTTTAGACGTGTGTCAGCGACGAACACACTAATCTCACTTAAATCAATATTGACAGTGATACGTTGATAGTATCTGACTGTGGGTTTTATTTTCTGACTCAAACACATACCAACATATTATTTATCATAACGATATAAATCAACAAAAGTTTCTCTCATTGATAGTAGATAAAGTTATTTTCTTTGTTACACTCAAGCGAATTGAAATATGTCTCTAAGATAAATGTGCACTCCAAAGAAAAAACCCTAAAAAAGATGTAAGTATGGACGCGCCTATAAACTATTTAATAGGGTGTGGGTGTGGGATGAACTTGGGTATGAATCAGGAACTCAGTGACATTCATATATACGGTACCTACAAATCGTTACGTCTGAGTTCATGTTATTTAATTAATAGAATATTACATTATCATCATTATTACTCGCGGAACTCTATTGAAACCAATTAGTATATGTTTTAATTATTTATGACTTACAAATACAAAAAATTGATAGAATAATTGAATAGAAAATGGGATGAGTAATGCTTTCTTGAAGCATAGTGAAGATCAAAAATTCTCATACGATCCTGTCTAAATTATATTTTTAACGACACAAAAAAGATTGTATTAGAAAAGGGTCAAGAGATTCGTAGTATCAGTGATCTCATGTTCCGATAAGATCATTTCTGAGATTATTAAATAGTCAACAAATAGGGTTATATGATATAGGGTGGGGTGTGGGTATGGAACCTGTCATAAACTCTTTCCTAAAGCCTTAGCAAAAGTATACGAGGGCGTCATTCAATGTAGCTGTAAGATCCATATACCTTAACTGAGAAGTACATTCTTATCGAAAACAAAGCCAGAAAAGAAAACTTTTCTGTTATTTTTGCTTACATATTTTCTTTCGATTAAAATTATTCTTTGTGTTTATTGAGTTTTACTTATTGAAAATTAATCGTATAGCATTACTATCAGCATCACTTTCAACGACGCACAAACATAATATCAGAACTAATGATAAAAAGAAAAAGAAAAAGATCTTCAGACATGTCTGATGAATTTAAAAAATAGAGTGATTGCAATCGTCGATATATGCATTCATCCTCTAAATTACAATATGGTACAAGATAGAAGATTCATTTTTGGTTCAGTTTCTGTTTTCGATCGACGAAATTCTCCCATGAACGACACGGCGAATCTCATTTAACAATGAAGTATATCAGTAATAAAAAAAACGGCTCATTCGATAAAAAAAATATGCAAAAGTGTAACTGCTGAGGCTGATTTTATTGACACTCGCAGTTTCGCTTCACCCGAATATTGACTTTGTACCTTTTTTTTTCAAAGTTGTAAAAACTCAACTCCCGTCAGTCAATTAAGTGCTTCGTTCTTCAGTTGTTTATTGAACTTTTTCATCGAAGAAAGGAGCAATTACTACAAAACGTTAGTTTTATATGAATGTATTATACTCGTTCAAATACCAATATTTCTTTTTTTTTCTCGTTTAAGAGGTAAACATCTCCATTACCAATAAACGAAATGGACCATTTTCTGACTGTTATGATCGAGTTTTTTATGATCTATGTATTACTTTTTTGGACGAAAAGCGCTTAATCTATCGAGTCTAATCAATCAAATTGATGCAGAACGAATTATTTTCCTTGAAATTTGTGTGTGAACAGAACTTCCGGCTATAGAAGTTAGGGTGTAACTATAAGATTTCTTTCCAGGGAAAAGGAACAGTAAGCTAGCGAAAGAAAACTTTTACAAGAAGACAAATATCGTTATTGGCCGAGAAAGAGATGTTTAC